TGATTTACTAACCTAAACACACGCACGCACTAGGTGCGTGTGATTTTTACACAGCAAAACGTATTTATCAACCAAAAAGTCTCTAAAAGCATATTTCCACTAATGCCATATATGGAAAAATCATGCACATGATGCATATATAATGCTGCTTCACCGTTTAGACAAAAATGGTTAGCTCATGCATTTACATTCCTGCATTCATCAATGCAAGCAACACAATGTAGAGCTAATTTACACAACATCAACTTGCAATTCATGCAGGGCTTTGCACAACACACCTGCTGGGTGTGTACACACTACAAAGGTGTCTAGATTCCACCAATAGATCATGCTGGGAGGGAACACACTACAGAGGTGTATACTTGTTCGTGGCTTGTTCATAAGGTTAGTAAATCAACCCCTATGTGTTCATAATGTGTTCCCATTCACACAGCAAAAAGTAATTACAAAAACATATTTTTACTGCTCATGAGGCTCAGTAGCTGTGTGGTCATGATCCTCCTCTTTAAATCTGTTTTTAAAATATAATTTCCTCTCTATCCCATTGTATTAAAAATATGCAGCCAAAGAGATCAACCAGAATCATCAAAGTTTTCTTTTATGAAATGTGAGGGGGCCTGGGTCTAAATTTTTGTTGCAGGCCTCTGCAGAGTTTGGCTGTCCCCCTGTATACATATCGTATGCACATGTATGTGAATCCTCAAAATCTGGCAAGCCTGTCAGGGTACCACGTGCTGGTGTTCTGCAGTGGTAGTGTGACCAGATATGAGGAAAGTATGTAGAGGAAATCAGACTCAAGCCTAAATAAAGAAATACAATTTATTGTAAACACAAGAACACAAGTGACATAAAACATAAAAACTGCAACCTATACAGGACCCAGTGAACACAAGTGAAAAGTGGAAAACTAACTGACTATGTAGAAACAGAGGAGAAAGAAATCAGGTAGCGCAGGGTCAGGCAAGAGTACAATGTAACAGAGACCATGACGGGTCAGGAATAAAGCCAGAATGGATAAAAAGTGCAGAGAGGAACAGATCCAGTATACACCAGCACACAGGTAAAATAGCCTCTGTGTGACTCTCAGGTGGGCTAAATACTCTTCCAGCAGCCAACATTAGGTGGTGACTAATTGTTAGGTACCGCTAACCGCTGGGGAACACCCTTTGGTGGACAATACAACCAAACTAGAGGTGCACCGAAATGAAAATTTCGAAACCGAAATGGAAATAAATGTCAGGCCGAAACCGGAAATGTTTTTGATTCCAACTTTTCACATTTTTTTTAATAGTTTATTTTTTTATTTTTTATAAACTTTTAAATTTTTTTATATTTTATTTTTCTTTATTTATTAATTTATATTAAATATGTTTATTTTTTACTTTACGTTTAGGGACTTCGGGGAAATATTGGGAGTCTAAACAGACCCCTGATATTTCCCTTGAGGACCCTGTGTCCTCAATCTCTTTTTCTGCAGCCCCTTTTATAAATGAACAGGAATCCTCTATGAGTGTTCCTGTTCATTCATAACTTGTACACATGGTATGTTTACTATAACCACAATCATGAATGAACAGGAGGTGATGTAGATCACTTCCCATTCATTCATAGTTGAGGATATAGTAAATATACTATGTCCTCAATTATTTACAAACATTCAGAAATCACTGATCGCTGAGTGTTTGTACCCGCTCTCCTCTGACACGCTGAGCTCAGCCTCCTGTGACAGCACTGCAAGGTGTCCCCGCTCTCCCGATCTGTGACAGGAGGCTAAGCGGTGCGGGGAGGAGAGACGCCGGCCGCTCACAGCGCTCTCCTGCTGCAGCGCTCGGCCGCAGAATTTCTCTCCTCCCCGCTGGGATACAGAGCAGCGTCAAGCACGGAGTAGAGAAAGAACAGATGCGCCGCTATATCGGCCAGAAAATGGCAATTTCTGCATTTTTCCAAAAGTACCATTTTCGGCCGATATATCGGTCCTTCCCTAAACCAAACATTTTAAGTCTGGGGGCCACAATGACATCAGCAGGTGTTCTATTTCCTAACATTGCCCACTAAGCTGGATGTACTGGAATGTACAAGAAAATATGTATAATTACTTCACACATTACTTCACCCATTGAAATGGGTAAAGATGACTTTTTTAGGGGGATCATTTTTAAGGATTAAACTGACCATTCTTGGTATTAATCTCTTATATTTATACTACCAAAAGTGTGCATGTCTATTGAATGGGGTGAAATTAGGAAGTCTTATGTCTTTAAAGTTAAACTGTATAGTCAGATATAAAATACACAGAATAATGAAGCTCTGTAAATGCTAATATATTATTATACCTATTTTTTAAGTGAAAGCAGTGTAAGTACCTGAATTTGACCTGATACCACCTTTTTGCAGTCCCTATACAACAGGACTGGAGTGTGAGAGGAAGAAGCCAATTAGTTCATGTGCTGACAAGAAGCATGCTGTAAAAAAAAGAAGCATGCTGATAGGAAGAGAAAGCAGAGTGACAGAGAGATTATGTGATCACTGTGCTGCTTCTCCGTTCACTGTCCAGTTACAGGCAGGGGTGGGTCCAAGATGACTTAGGTCCAAAGAAGGTGGGTTGAATGTGTCTGGCAATCAGACTTAGAACATCTAGTGGGAGAAAAAAAAAGTACTGCAGGGGAAATCTCTGGATTGAAGGTAAAAATCTCAGCAAAAGCTGGTTTTGTTATTTTATCTTTTAATTGGCTATTCATTTTTATCTTATGTGTATGTGGTTTGTATGTATGTTACCTACTGTACAGCACACAGAATTGGGCAGTCTGGAGAATGTCACTTACTGTTTAGAGTATAGAGTGGGGTAGCCCAGAGAATGTCATATAGCACAGAATCTCCACAGGTTCGGAGACTGTAACAAACAGTACAGCCAGAATGGAATACTTTTGCTAGTATGCAGTCATCACATTATAATCTGTCATACTAGAGGTTGTGTCTACCTTTAATTCTCATATATGAGTGTCTCCTTTAATAAAAATATTGGATTATGGGGTGCCCCAAAATGCTAATTGAATAATGCTGTGTTTGTCTTTTTAAAACAAGTATAAAATGAATCTGTAGTATGGTGCAGCACTATCATTTCTCCAGAGACTCCTTCATTTCAAACTTGGCATCTCCAATGGAAACATATTAAATTCAGAATGTGAAAGCCACAGGTCTGAATAAATTTAATAAATAAAAATATTTCAGTTAAATAGTTGCTTCTTAAAATATTCTGTAACCTCCCAATGGTGCAGATGGAGACACTGAGTAGTAAAACGAGAATACAAATCAAATCTTGTCTGATCCGGTATCAGATAAGGACAGGAACACAACTGGATGGAAACGGTATTTACAAAAAAAAACAAAAAACAGGTTCGGTAAGAGCAGCCAATTGCTGTGCCAATCTAAAGGTCAGAAGTCACCTGAAGTCTGACAGTTGCTGGCCTGACATCTGCCTGATCTTACTTAAAGTACAATTAAACTCTCCATTTCTTAGTATATATATATATATGCCAAAACATTTAGAAAAAATAAAAAAGTTACCAAAGAGGTAATTACTTACCTCTGTCTCCGCTGCTCTCGTCTGAAGATCTGAAACTTCTTGAACAACCGTGCAGGATGATGGGGCGGGTGCATAAGCAGTGTAAAGGTGGCCATACACTGTACAACCATCGCAAGACCTTAGTCTTGCGATGGTTGTAAAGGGATTAAAAAAACGTACGATCTGCCTATCTTGGACAGGCAGATCGCACTCTCGATCATCGCAAGCCCGCCCCCCTGAGGGGCGGGCTTCCGATGACCGCAATGCTGAACGGGCAGTGTGCGTGTGCGCACACCGGCCCGTTCAGCATTTGTCTTCCGAGCACCGTTCTAACCAGCCGAGAATCGTACGATTCCCGGCTGGTTTTCGAACATGCTGGTTCGACGGAAGACGTGCGACCGTACAGTAGAAACGGTCGCACGTCTCCGTTCACACTGCTCGATTCTCGTACAATCGCGGGATTTCCCGCGATTCTCCTACGAGAATCGAGCAGTGTATGGGCACCTTAAGAGATCTTTGGCGGGGAGAAGAGGAGAGACACAGTGGAGGTGAATGCGCAAAGCCGTGAGCGTGCATGTCAGACAGACACCGTGGGAGTCTGCGCTGGATCAGGGACCAGCACCAGCACTGGAGGGATTGCTGAATACCAGTGGAAGGAAAAAGATGATCGGATCAAGAGGCATCATTTAAGCAGAATGGGGAAGGACAACATTTGTGACTGTAATGTTGCTTTAAGCCACCATACATTGCTAGAATGCGGTGAATTGGGCGAGATTCTAACCGTGCGTGGCCCTGCTAGTTGATTACTCCATTGATTTATGTCGAAGTAGTCGGTCCAGAAATTTTCAGTTGAACTATGACTGCAGTCAATCAGCTGGAGTCACTGTTTGGGTATTCTGATAGCGGCGGGTGGAGGCTGATCGAAAGAAACCTAATAGTGTAAAGCCAGCTTTACTGAGTCTCATCTTTTAAGTGTGCAGAGTGTGAGAACAAGACAGTTGACAGGCAAAAACATGCTGCTGACGATCCAGCTGAAGTGTCAGACATGGACAAAGTATGTAAAGCTAAAAAAGTGGGATATATAAAAAATGTTTATATGTAAACCTGCACAGTTATAATATCTAATGACTGAATATTTAGATTCCATCATTTGCCCAACCAAAGTGAATAGATCTCCTTTGCCTTCTGTGGATTTTTGTCCATTTAGATACATATTAATTATTGATGTCTAGTGTCAAAGATTTGCTGTTATTTAAAGAGTACATTCTATTCATGGTCTAAACAATAGACCACAAAAAGAGGAACAACTGCGAAGTAAGGAGAGACAGAGGGATTTGGGTCCAAATGAGGCACAGGTCAGGCTATGCTGTACTGTAATTACTGGGGGGGAAAAAATCACCTATGTGTATAAATATATATAGACATCATTTTCCAAATTAGGTATCCTACGTGCAGGACAACACAGCAGGTTCATTGAATTGCCCGTGCATATGTTCATCTTCCCTTCATTTGTTTATTTCCAATAATGGGAAGCATGTGACTCACACTTCTTCCTCTCACAATGCAGTGCTGGGTTCCTGAATGGCTTGACTCCACCAGCAGCAGCAATGTCACATAGGTGCAAGGAGCTTTAGCTTGAATACGTTCTGAACAGAGTGACTGGGAGCTTGCACAGGTGCTCTTCACGTCTATGAGCGGTGAGGTAACACAGTATGAGTACACGCTTTAAAGCCCAACCTCAGGGAAATTACAAGTTTTCCCTTCCAGTGGGGCTGCACTACAAGGGTTAACTGCTTGTTTATGCCTAGGAGACAAGCTGTCTTACCTTTTTACCTACCTGATGCCTACTCACCCGGCAGTGAGCACCCTCCTCTTCTTCTTCTCTGCTCTGGCTGTGGACTGTGCTTCAGCATCCTCAACTACAATGCAGGGCCATGGAGTCTGCATTGTACTTGATGACATCAGTGGTCTTTAGACCGCCAGAGTTGAGGGAAGAAAGAGGTAGCAGGGACCTGTCTAGGATCAGGTAAGTAAAACAGCATTTTCCTGACCCCTAGGCATAAACAAGCGTTTAACCCGTTGTAGTGCAGCCCCACTGAAAGTGAAAACTTTTAAAGTGGACCTTTACCCCCTTTCACTAATCATAACATTAGCATTCAGCTCTGCATACTGATATGAAATCATTTTACATTCATTAGTTAAACATACATATTTTGCATTTACTTACAATTATGGTTTTCCCACTTCCTGGTCCTCTTGGCATTAGCGATGTAATCTGTGCCCAAGCAATGCATCCTGGGAAGGTTACATCAGCAGTGCACTGCTAGGAAATCTCATATGTAATCTCATGAGATCTCAGGGAACGGCATTTTTCTCCCCTGAAATGATGTGCATGATCTCATGTCCTTGTCACATGTGCCAGAGTTCCAGGAAGTAAAAGGAGATATATTAATCTACTCTTAGTAAAAATGGCCACTGTAAGAAGATTGGGGAAGAAAAGAAAAATAAGGTATGTAAAGAATACAAAGGCGGCAATTATCTAGAAGTATGTGTTTGTAGATTGTCATTACTAAACATTTCTAAAAGTGTATTTGTTGTCATTTCAATGATATGGGTAAAGTTCCTCTGTAATTTCCCAAGAGTTCAGCTTTAAGCAAATTTTTTATCATCAACTTTTAATTTTAATTTCAGTACATTTTATCATCAATTGCAAACTGGAAATTCAATCCAATTTATCCATTTATTTTTCTAATTTTCTTATAAACAAGTGCCATATGAACTCACATCCACAGACATGGAAACATATTTGTACAACTATTTGTGGATTCAATAAAATGTTATTTATCCATGGACTTAAAGGAGAACTATGAGGTGAGTGATTTTCACTCATCCTCATAGTTCTAGCCGACCTGTGACAAATAAACTGTCACAGGTCGGCTCAGTAGATCGGGAAGTGAGCGAACACATACCGGCGCTCGCTCACTTCTCGATCCTGTCACTGCAGAGAGCCGTGACGTGACAGGGGAGGGACTGGATTCCATCCCCCCCCCGCTCCGATCCTCCAGTGCTGACTGGCGGAACGGACAGGGGAGGGGGCGGGTACAGCTGGCTCTGCCTCTAGATAGGCAGAGCCAGCTGTCACTCACACAGCTGGGTGGATCTGGATCCAGACAGAATTGTTGGGATCCGTTCCGGCTGCGGCGCCTCAGTATACCGCGAGCTGTAGCACGTGGTGTACTGAGCTTTGGGTGACGGGAGGACGCTAGTTTGTGTCCTCCCGTTACCCTTAGGAGAACTATGAGGAAAAACACTGACCCCATAGTTCTCCTTTAACACTGAATGCTCTTTTGTCTTTATTTGTACTTACTTTTCTATGGGGTTTTTTTGGTTTTCAAAAGTTACTGTTTATTTAAATGTAATTTCCTGCCAATTAATTATTGCCAAAAGTGTTCTATGTGTGCAGACTTACGAATATGAAACATTTCATCCTCTCAATAGGCTCTTCTTGACAACGCCTACACATTGTATCGTACGGACACGTCTGTGTCTGTTTCTCATTTGGTATTTGGAACAGAGCAGAAATATGTTTTCAATTATGGCCAGTTTATGCAGTTCATAAAACACATCTCGATTGAAAACCAACTGATTTAAATGGCAGAATACATGATTTTCTCTCTGAAATAATTCTCAGAATTGTATGCCTAGT